AATCAAGCGAGAAAAAGTTTTACAAAACTAATTGTCTCGATAATAACTGAGTCTCTTCAAGGTGTATACATAGATGCATGTCATCCAATTAATCTACATTATTCAAAAAAAAATATTTCTTTTTATTTATGATTTTAGTAGAAAAAACGTGAATATACTTTGTCAAACAAAAATTTAACTTTTATTGCTTCTCAATAAAATGAAGTAATTAAGAAAAAATAAATAAAAACATTCTCAACATAACTACATGTTAAAATCTAAAAATACATTAAGCTGAAGTTATTTATTGTGTAACTGTTCCGTTTAATAAATCTCCAACATCTAATTAAAATATCAAATTACTCAAAAGAAAACATAGAGTGAAAGAAAAACTAGTGCTAATTATTTGTGGATATGAGAGTATATCATAACCTATTAACCAAAACAATATCGCTTAAAATACCAAACATATCTTCGCAATAATATCAAGAAAAAACGAAGTGAAGAAAGATTGGAGAACCAATAATTTTGTGGCAAGTGAGAAAATACATTAAAAAAAAATAACAACAGTAATTTATTACGTGGAGGAAATGAAAGTTGTCATAAATAAAATTTTCTTTTATTATATTTCGATACATGTTGAATAATTTTTTATAATAAAAAAATATTCCATGGTACTTTAATATAATTTGAATATAAAACCTTAAGAGAATTTAATTTTAATATTTGTGATTGGAGAAACATATGAAAGTTTCATTGAAAAGGACAAAAACTTCACATCCTAACATATGCTTTAACATTTATCTGTTGCACCACCACATTTATTTTTTCTCCCTGTCAAATTGAATTTACTTCAATCCATGGACACAAACTAATGACATGAACCATAAATAAAGGAGAAAGCAACATAACAACAACCTAGTCGAATTAAGTGAGAGAAAAGTAACAGTATACGTAACTTGTTAGAGAACCACTACTATTTAATTAAATGTTTTCTTATAAAAAAAACTGTTTTGTTATAATTCTACTTATAATCTAATATTCTTTATAAAAATTTAGATTATTTTCTTAAGTTACATTTTTATTCAATTTAAAATAATATACTTTATTATATTACTTTTTTTTATAACCTTGTAGTTAATTAACCTTAGTAAATCTTACCATTATTTTTAAGTAAGGAAAGAAGCTAAAAAAAATTGCACAATTATATTTTCTTTGGCTTTTATAATGTAAATCTTGTCTCATCAATTAATATTTATTTCAGGAGATAAAAGGTAAAATCCATGTGGGCCTCGTTGATAAATAAGTATTAAAATATTAATTATTTATACAATAATAAATATTTATAATATTAATTATTTATTACAAATTTCATTCCTGAATATTTACATATTTTTACCATCTTTAAAAGTTATTACTAAGACTAACACACTTTTTCATTGAAAAGATTTGTTATACAAAAAAAGTTATTAAATTATAAAATGACTTTTAATTATAAAAATAAATAATTTTTATAATTTTTTATTATATAAATACTTTTTTATTATAAATAATTATTTAAATTTTAAAAAAATTATTAAAAGAGATAAAATTAAGAAATACATTTATATTATAATTGATTATTTATATTTTTAAAAATAGTTAAAAAATGATAAAATAAAAAAAATGTAGATAATTTTTTTTATATAATGTTTCTGTGTAGATATTTTACGGTTGTCTCTGTTGCTTCTAAATGTCTGGGACGCTCGATTATCCTCAATTTTTTTTATATAATTTTTTTTATATAATGTTTCCGTGTAGATATTTTTCGGTTGTCTTTGTTGCTTCTAAATGTTTCCGCGTAGATATTTTAATATTTACTACTTTCGTCTAAAAACTGTTACAGTAAAGACCTGGATTTCAACAGGTTGATGAAAAATAGTTTTTTTTTTGTACTAAAGGCCCACCTTAATTATGATCCTTTAAAGGTGGAAACTTCAACTTCAAACCTAGTTATTTTTTTAAGTTTTATTAGAACTGATAGTCAAGTCAACACAATAGTCATGACGCTAATTCGACGAGGCTTAATAAACATTTTTAAAATAATAATTAAAGTAATAGTAACGATAAGTATAATAAAAGAAAATTCAGTATTTTTAAAATATTTAAATAATTTAATTAAAATAAATGTAATAATTCATAATAAAAATTTTAAAACCCAAATCCACAGTACCTTTTTTCTTTCTATTTATACGACTATTTGTGTTCTTAGTTTTTACCTCAAAGGCAAGTTTACAAGCTGGATCTCTCTCTCTTGTCATCAAATAATCACCTTTTAGTGGAGTAGTTGTAATATAATTAAGTAATGGTTTAATGTCTTGGTAGGTCTTTATTTTCGTTTGGAATTTTAAATAAGTTTTTTTCTTTTTATGCGTCTCAATTGGATCCTTGTTTTTGTAAAATTAAAGTAATTAGGGGCTTTTCGTCAAATTGAGAAGACGCGGTTAAGAAAGATGTTTCGTGACATGCTGACAATGTCTTTTTAAATGATTTGACATTAAAAACGTTTGTGAAGTGTATCTTTTTTAAAATTTGAATTAAAAAATGGAGTGCAAAGAGGGAAAATAAAATTTAAGTAAGGGCAAAGTGGTCATCTCATTTCATAGAACACATGGAAAGGTGGAAGAGCACTGTCAACACCAAACATTGCTCCTGGAATGTCATCCTTCATCTTTTAACCAAATCACAGCCACCGTAGATAGAAATGCAAATTGCAGGAACCCAATCGCGAGTTCGCCCAACATTTTCACCATTGCGAGACGAAATCAGAACCTGCGAAAATTCCCAAATCAAAAACCAGAAAAAAGATGTATGTGAACTGATTCAAAATCGACAAAAAAAAATTGAATCTGTGAAAATTCTCAAATCAACTGCCACTATGAAACATCTTCACCTGACCACCTTGTCAATGCCGTGTGTAGAAACCACTGTCTTCGCAACCTGAAACGTATAAAAACCAGAAACGGCAGAAGAACCCTAAAACACAGAAAAAATCCCCAAATCAGCAAACCCTAGTCGCGCAAGCACGATTAAGAGGAGGCGAAACTCAGGAGTGTGATTCCCTTCGTTTTCCACCATCATCGCGAGAGATAATTAGAATCGTGAAGCACCTGCAAAAATCAAAACCCAACCACAGGAGAATTTTTTCTCTCGCGCATAGAGATCTCCATGGCAATTGGCAACAACACACTTCGCGACAGGTAGAGAAGGCAGAAGCAAGCATTCCAAATCCTAATTCTAAAATCCTAATTTGGGTGAGAGAGGGGCTTCCACATGGCAAACCCCCATTTGATACTTAATTTAATTTGATTTCCCAACTTTACCATTACTTATATTATATTTCCACTATATAAACTTCATTTTTTAATTTAAAAATAAAATAAATACAATTGAGACATGTTTTTAATGCCACATCATTTAAAAAGACATTATCAATATGTCACGTAATACTCTTTTTAATATAATTTTCTTAATTTAACAAAAAAAATCTCTATTTAATTTAATTTTATAAAAATAAGAATCCAATTAAAATCGCGGAAGAAGAAAGGGAGACATTAAACCTAAAGTAATTGAATGTGTTACTATTCATTTGAGTGGAAGCAACGTAAATAATACTCCTCCACTTGCCTCCTATCTTTATCTCTCTCCGTCTGTTTCTATCTGATTTTTTTCATAACATGCATTTATTAGTATAATAGTACAAAGTTATTTTGAGTAAATAATGCACCTATTAATTATAGACTATTATTTATAGTTGTGTGAATTTGATTAATAAAATTAAAAATNGCGAGACAAAATCAGAACCTGCGAAAATTCCCAAATCAAAAACCAGAAAAAAGATGTATGTGAACTGATGCAAAATTGACAAAAAAAAGTTGAATTTGCGAAAATTCTCAAATCAACTGCCACTGTGAAACATCTTCACCTGACCACCTTGTCAATGCACTGTCTTCACAACCTGAAACGCATAAAAACCAGAAACGGCAGAAGAACCCTAAAACACAGAAAAAATCCCCAAATCAGCGAACCCTAGTCGCGCAAGCACGATTGAGAGGAGGCGAAACTCAGGAGCGTGATTCCCTTTGTTTTCCACCATCATCGCGAGAGATAATTAGAATCGTGAAGCACCTGCAAAAATCAAAACCCAACCACAGGAAAATTTTTTCTCTCGCACACAGAGATCTCCATGGCAATTGGTAGCAGCACGGCGCAGGCAGAGAAGGCAGAAACAAGCCTTCCAAATCCTAAAAAATCTTAATTTGGGTGAGAAAGGGGCTTCCACATGGCAAGCCCCAATTTGATACTTAATTTAATTTGATTTTCCAACTTTGCCCTTACATATATTATATTTCCCCTCTATAAACTTCATTTTTTAATTCAAAAATAAAATAAATACAAGTGAGTCATGTTTTTAATGCCATATCATTTAAAAAGACATTATCAACATGCCAGGTAACACTTTTCTTAACATAGTTTTCTCACTTTGACGGAAAATTCCTATTTAATTTAATTTTATAAAAATAAAAATCCAATTGAGACAGTAAAAAAAGAAAATTCTTATTTTAATTTAATTTTATAAAAATAAAAATCCAATTAAGACCAAAAAAAAAAAGTAAGGGAGACATTAAACCTAAAGTAATGGAATATGTTACTATTCATTTGAGTGGAAGCATCATAAATAATACTCCTCCACTTGCCTCCTATCTTTATCTCTCTCCGTCTGTTTCTATCTGATTTTTTTCATAACATGCATTTATAAGTATAATAGTACAAAGTTATTTTGAGTAAATAATGCACCTATTAATTATAGACTATTATTTATAGTTGTGTGAATTTGATTAATAAAATTAAAAATAATATTGAAAATTGCAATTCAATTTATTTAAAATCGGTCACCCTTGGGAGGGACCCCATAAGGGAACAGAAGCAAAATAGCAAAAAGGAAGTAAGCAACAGGGTTTATAAGTTTCCGGTGAGCAAATCGTGGCTGGCGTGAGTGTTGTCCGAACACAAGAACACAAAAAAAGCAGCGTTCTTTTGTAGACACGCAATTGGTGGTATCTTCCGGCAATCCTATCGGTGTGCGCACCGGATAGCTTCCGTGGCCGGCGACCGACACGTGGCGAAGAGCCTTTAGGCCCAAGCCTCGCATTGGACAGAGACGCAGTCGCAATTAAAACCAATAAAATAAATGAATAAACAAATGCTTTGTGCAGAAGCCAAGCGAGGAACCGGCGAATAAACAAACTAACTGTTATCTAAGCGCATTGCGCACCTCACAACCATAGAGTTCTGTCCAATTCAATGAACGGCTTTGAGGAGAGAGAAACTACAGCGTTCCGAGCTCTGGCGGATCGGTGCCGGAGCCTCGAGGAGAAGCAGGCCAAGTTGAAGGAGGAATTCGATGAGCTACTGCAGAAGAAGCTCACAGTCCGGCACGATAACGATAACAATAACGAGGTCATTGCTGATTCAACAACCCTCGGTTTTCTCCCCGGTTACTTCTCCAGAAGTCCCTACGCAACCCTGCTGAAATGTATGGGCCACGCCGTTCACGTCGTCAGAGTTCCCTCCGCTGAGATCGTGTACTGGTATAATAATAAATCGTAGAGCCTACATTTTTTTTAATCGTTTCTTCTTTCTGGTAATTTATTTACCCAGAGATTATTCACGGTGTTATAATTTTTAATGGAACAGTTGAACGCTGTAGAGAGGATAGTGAATAGGATGTGTGAGAAACTTGTTTCGAGTTTGGTTAGACATCCGCACGATGTCGTTTAGAGTGCTATATTGGGAATTGAATGAGTTATTTCGATTGAAAGTTTATTTGGTAAAACATGTTTTCAATTATTCATTAGGCGAGTGTTCCCAATTCGGCAATTCCGCAACATAGCAAATAAGAAAGGTTTACGGGGATTACTGTACTGGATCAGTTTACAGGATAAGTTGAACATTTTAAACTGAGGATGGTGGGGGCCTTGGGAATTGAAATTAGAAGTCGTCGTGTGTAACTTATAAAAAAGGACAGAGTATTCGACATTTTAGTTGTGTTGAAATTGGGCATTCTACTGGTAATCACATTGACGTTACTGGGGAAAAGAGACATCGTGTTGCATTTTCTTCAATAATTAGTGGTTTGGTAGGCATGCTTTGCTTAACAAGTGTTAATCGTGTTTAACAATTGTGGATCACTTTGGGGGAAAGTGTTGGAAGCTGATTTTTCATAAAGCTAATTGGATCCGGTGTGTAATTAAAATCACGAAAATCTGTAGTGTAAAAGATATTAAATCTAAAAAGATTAATGGTTAGAAATTGGCTTTTGAACCGTCATAACTTATTAGACTTGTATGTGCTCTCACCGGCTGACAATCAAGGCCAATTTCAGTCAATATTTCACTTTTTATTTTCAAATTTCGAAAAAGTTACCTCTGCAAGTTATTCTTTTGTTTAGATTGCTTTTGAGCCAAACCTATTTCCATTTCAGGAATCACGCGGCCGAAACTCTGTATGGATGGAAAGACCACGAAATCATTGGCCAAAGTGTAACTAAAATCCTAACTGCTCAGGAAAATTATGTATCTCTACAAAAAATTCTGGAAAGGGTGGTTTCAGGAGTTCCATGGTCTGGGAAGTTTCCTTTCAAAAAGAAATCTGGTGAAGTAATTATGGCATTGGTAACAAAAACTCCTCTTTATGAGGATGGTGAGCTTGTTGGTGTTATAACTGTTTCAAGTGATGCGGCTATATTAAAATGTACAAATTCAGAAAATCAAACATACAAATCTGCTAACAATGGCCAACCTGGAGTAAGGAGGTTAAACTTTAAAAGAATTCAGTGGCCTCCACGACCAACGATTGCACCAATGCCGCAGATTGCTTCATCTGTTTCCAATCTGGTTCTCATTAGTGTGATCTTTTTTATAGTTTTATTCTTTTTTATTTTAGTTTTTTTTATCATTTCCTTAAATTAAATTATAGAATCCTATTGTTTATATCTACCAGGCATCAAAGCTTCTCCCACTGCTGCATAGTACTGATGACACAGTTTCCAAGAAGACTTCGACAGATGCTGTCGCAGGTGATGAAAAGCTAGAGAAGCGTGGCATATATGTATGTTTTTGTTCATCTCGGGGATGTAGTATCTGAGTAAGTATTTAATTTTGATAACGTTTTAAGTTTTCGTATCCTAAATTCGAATTTCAGGAAACAAAACCTAATTCCAGACATTTCCGTAAAGAAAACACAATTGTCACGGAGGCCTCTGAGGAGAATGAGTCTACTGCAGAATTTGGCCAACCTTCTAAAATTGTAAATAAATCTTACTTTCCCTTTTATTAGTTACTCTAATTGCCTAATTGATAAAGTAATACTTCATCTAAAATCATAAAATTGGAGGCTGAACCTTTGTAGGCACTATGAAGCTTAGATCCCAAATTAAAGCCATTTAAGTATATGCTAGCAGAAACTGAGCATATACCGCAGGCCCACATGAATCTGTAAACTCTGCATTGGTTTGATCTATATAGTACATAATATTTGTTTAAAAAATTGCGTTTGTGAACCTTTGTGGTGTACTTATGAAGCGTGGACAGCAAAGTAATCCAGCAGAATCCAAGTATATGCCGGAGGTCCACTTGACATTGAAAATGTTGCATTGGTTTGAACTGTAGTATATAATATTTGTTTAAAAATTGTGTGACGTGAAACTTCTGTGTAACTTTTTATCCATTTTAGATACATGATCCTCTCTATGGTTCGATCACTTCAGGCAGCCAAGCTTCAAACTGGGGTACGTGCAAAATATGGGAAGGATAATGGAAATATGAAAAATAATTGTGCAGATGATAATTCGGGAAGCAATAGAATGAATTATGAAAATGATTCATCTGGAGGTTTAGTTCCATTAAAAGGATACCAGGATGTTGTTAATGGAGCAGATAAAGAACTAAATCTTCAGAAATGTAATTCTTCACTTGCAATGAAGAGAGCGGAAACAACCGCGTGTGCATCTAGAGCTTCCACTGTTTCCAAAGATTATTCTGGTAAGCCTCTCTCTGGGGAGTGGTGTGAATTTTTGGATTCTCCCATTCCCCATACCCATTGTTAAGATTACACTATCTATTTGATCACAAGAAATTGGAACCAGAGGCAACGACTGTGGTGACAGGAGATGAAGTACAAAAGCAGCAAGAAGTGTCGCAACTGCCAAGTTCGAGGGAGAGTACAGGCAGCCACGAAAGTTTGTCGGGCAAAGGGGATTATGAGTCCAACTCTGTTTCAGAGTGTGAAATCCGTTGGGAAGACCTTCAATTAAGAGAGGAGATTGGACAAGGTAATGAATTCCATTATTATGCATTTTATAGTTCCTCTATGTTAANGCTTTTGTACTTCATCTCCTGTTACCACAGTCGTTGCCTCTGGTTCCAATTTCTTGTGATCAAATAGATAGTGTAATCTTAACAATGGGTATGGGGAATGGGAGAATCCAAAAATTCACACCACTCCCCAGAGAGAGGCTTACCAGAATAATCTTTGGAAACAGTGGAAGCTCTAGATGCACACGCGGTTGTTTCCGCTCTCTTCATTGCAAGTGAAGAATTACATTTCTGAAGATTTAGTTCTTTATCTGCTCCATTAACAACATCCTGGTATCCTTTTAATGGAACTAAACCTCCAGATGAATCATTTTCATAATTCATTCTATTGCTTCCCGAATTATCATCTGCACAATTATTTTTCATATTTCCATTATCCTTCCCATATTTTGCACGTACCCCAGTTTGAAGCTTGGCTGCCTGAAGTGATCGAACCATAGAGAGGATCATGTATCTAAAATGGATAAAAAGTTACACAGAAGTTTCACGTCACACAATTTTTAAACAAATATTATATACTACAGTTCAAACCAATGCAACATTTTCAATGTCAAGTGGACCTCCGGCATATACTTGGATTCTGCTGGATTACTTTGCTGTCCACGCTTCATAAGTACACCACAAAGGTTCACAAACGCAATTTTTTAAACAAATATTATGTACTATATAGATCAAACCAATGCAGAGTTTACAGATTCATGTGGGCCTGCGGTATATGCTCAGTTTCTGCTAGCATATACTTAAATGGCTTTAATTTGGGATCTAAGCTTCATAGTGCCTACAAAGGTTCAGCCTCCAATTTTATGATTTTAGATGAAGTATTACTTTATCAATTAGGCAATTAGAGTAACTAATAAAAGGGAAAGTAAGATTTATTTACAATTTTAGAAGGTTGGCCAAATTCTGCAGTAGACTCATTCTCCTCAGAGGCCTCCGTGACAATTGTGTTTTCTTTACGGAAATGTCTGGAATTAGGTTTTGTTTCCTGAAATTCGAATTTAGGATACGAAAACTTAAAACGTTATCAAAATTAAATACTTACTCAGATACTACATCCCCGAGATGAACAAAAACATACATATATGCCACGCTTCTCTAGCTTTTCATCACCTGCGACAGCATCTGTCGAAGTCTTCTTGGAAACTGTGTCATCAGTACTATGCAGCAGTGGGAGAAGCTTTGATGCCTGGTAGATATAAACAATAGGATTCTATAATTTAATTTAAGGAAATGATAAAAAAAACTAAAATAAAAAAGAATAAAACTATAAAAAAGATCACACTAATGAGAACCAGATTGGAAACAGATGAAGCAATCTGCGGCATTGGTGCAATCGTTGGTCGTGGAGGCCACTGAATTCTTTTAAAGTTTAACCTCCTTACTCCAGGTTGGCCATTGTTAGCAGATTTGTATGTTTGATTTTCTGAATTTGTACATTTTAATATAGCCGCATCACTTGAAACAGTTATAACACCAACAAGCTCACCATCCTCATAAAGAGGAGTTTTTGTTACCAATGCCATAATTACTTCACCAGATTTCTTTTTGAAAGGAAACTTCCCAGACCATGGAACTCCTGAAACCACCCTTTCCAGAATTTTTTGTAGAGATACATAATTTTCCTGAGCAGTTAGGATTTTAGTTACACTTTGGCCAATGATTTCGTGGTCTTTCCATCCATACAGAGTTTCGGCCGCGTGATTCCTGAAATGGAAATAGGTTTGGCTCAAAAGCAATCTAAACAAAAGAATAACTTGCAGAGGTAACTTTTTCGAAATTTGAAAATAAAAAGTGAAATATTGACTGAAATTGGCCTTGATTGTCAGCCAGTGAGAGCACATACAAGTCTAATAAGTTATGACGGTTCAAAAGCCAATTTCTAACCATTAATCTTTTTAGATTTAATATCTTTTACACTACAGATTTTCGTGATTTTAATTACACACCGGATCCAATTAGCTTTATGAAAAATCAGCTTCTAACACTTTCCCCCAAAGTGATCCACAATTGTTAAACACGATTAACACTTGTTAAGCAAAGCATGCCCACCAAACCACTAATTATTGAAGAAAATGCAACACGATGTCTCTTTTCCCCAGTAACCTCAATGTGATTACCAGTAGAATGCCCAATTTCAACACAACTAAAATGTCGAATACTCTGTCCTTTTTTAATAAGTTACACACGGCGACTCCTAATTTCAATTCCCAAGGCATCCCCCACCATCCTCAGTTTAAAATGTTCAACTTATCCTGTAAACTGATCCAGTACAGTAATCCCCGTAAACCTTTCTTATTTGCTATGTTGCGGAATTGCCGAATTGGGAACACTCGCCTAATGAATAATTGAAAACATGTTTTACCAAAGGAAAATGTTATTTGGACAACAAAAGTTTGACACAATTTTGACAACGGCGACGTGGCAGCTGTGCATTGGCTCAGTGAACCGGGGTGAGGGGTATTTTGGGTTTTTTCTGGTTTGTTTTCAATTCACTGAGCCAATGCACAGCTGCCACGTCGCCGTTGTCAAAATTGTGTCAAATTTTTGTTGTCCAAATAACATTTTCCTTTGGTAAAACATGTTTTCAATTATTCATTAGGCGAGTGTTCCCAATTCGGCAATTCCGCAACATAGCAAATAAGAAAGGTTTACGGGGATTACTGTACTGGATCAGTTTACAGGATAAGTTGAACATTTTAAACTGAGGATGGTGGGGGATGCCTTGGGAATTGAAATTAGGAGTCGCCGTGTGTAACTTATTAAAAAAGGACAGAGTATTCGACATTTTAGTTGTGTTGAAATTGGGCATTCTACTGGTAATCACATTGAGGTTACTGGGGAAAAGAGACATCGTGTTGCATTTTCTTCAATAATTAGTGGTTTGGTGGGCATGCTTTGCTTAACAAGTGTTAATCGTGTTTAACAATTGTGGATCACTTTGGGGGAAAGTGTTAGAAGCTGATTTTTCATAAAGCTAATTGGATCCGGTGTGTAATTAAAATCACGAAAATCTGTAGTGTAAAAGATATTAAATCTAAAAAGATTAATGGTTAGAAATTGGCTTTTGAACCGTCATAACTTATTAGACTTGTATGTGCTCTCACAGGCTGACAATCAAGGCCAATTTCAGTCAATATTTCACTTTTTATTTTCAAATTTCGAAAAAGTTACCTCTGCAAGTTATTCTTTTGTTTAGATTGCTTTTGAGCCAAACCTATTTCCATTTCAGGAATCACGCGGCCGAAACTCTGTATGGATGGAAAGACCACGAAATCATTGGCCAAAGTGTAACTAAAATCCTAAATGCTCAGGAAAATTATGTATCTCTACAAAAAATTCTGGAAAGGGTGGTTTCAGGAGTTCCATGGTCTGGGAAGTTTCCTTTCAAAAAGAAATCTGGTGAAGTAATTATGGCATTGGTAACAAAAACTCCTCTTTATGAGGATGGTGAGCTTGTTGGTGTTATAACTGTTTCAAGTGATGCGGCTATATTAAAATGTACAAATTCAGAAAATCAAACATACAAATCTGCTAACAATGGCCAACCTGGAGTAAGGAGGTTAAACTTTAAAAGAATTCAGTGGCCTCCACGACCAACGATTGCACCAATGCCGCAGATTGCTTCATCTGTTTCCAATCTGGTTCTCATTAGTGTGATCTTTTTTATAGTTTTATTCTTTTTTATTTTAGTTTTTTTTATCATTTCCTTAAATTAAATTATAGAATCCTATTGTTTATATCTACCAGGCATCAAAGCTTCTCCCACTGCTGCATAGTACTGATGACACAGTTTCCAAGAAGACTTCGACAGATGCTGTCGCAGGTGATGAAAAGCTAGAGAAGCGTGGCATATATGTATGTTTTTGTTCATCTCGGGGATGTAGTATCTGAGTAAGTATTTAATTTTGATAACGTTTTAAGTTTTCGTATCCTAAATTCGAATTTCAGGAAACAAAACCTAATTCCAGACATTTCCGTAAAGAAAACACAATTGTCACGGAGGCCTCTGAGGAGAATGAGTCTACTGCAGAATTTGGCCAACCTTCTAAAATTGTAAATAAATCTTACTTTCCCTTTTATTAGTTACTCTAATTGCCTAATTGATAAAGTAATACTTCATCTAAAATCATAAAATTGGAGGCTGAACCTTTGTAGGCACTATGAAGCTTAGATCCCAAATTAAAGCCATTTAAGTATATGCTAGCAGAAACTGAGCATATACCGCAGGCCCAAATGAATCTGTAAACTCTGCATTGGTTTGATCTATATAGTACATAATATTTGTTTAAAAAATTGCGTTTGTGAACCTTTGTGGTGTACTTATGAAGCGTGGACAGCAAAGTAATCCAGCAGAATCCAAGTATATGCCGGAGGTCCACTTGACATTGAAAATGTTGCATTGGTTTGAACTGTAGTATATAATATTTGTTTAAAAATTGTGTGACGTGAAACTTCTGTGTAACTTTTTATCCATTTTAGATACATGATCCTCTCTATGGTTCGATCACTTCAGGCAGCCAAGCTTCAAACTGGGGTACGTGCAAAATATGGGAAGGATAATGGAAATATGAAAAATAATTGTGCAGATGATAATTCGGGAAGCAATAGAATGAATTATGAAAATGATTCATCTGGAGGTTTAGTTCCATTAAAAGGATACCAGGATGTTGTTAATGGAGCAGATAAAGAACTAAATCTTCAGAAATGTAATTCTTCACTTGCAATGAAGAGAGCGGAAACAACCGCGTGTGCATCTAGAGCTTCCACTGTTTCCAAAGATTATTCTGGTAAGCCTCTCTCTGGGGAGTGGTGTGAATTTTTGGATTCTCCCATTCCCCATACCCATTGTTAAGATTACACTATCTATTTGATCACAAGAAATTGGAACCAGAGGCAACGACTGTGGTAACAGGAGATGAAGTACAAAAGCAGCAAGAAGTGTCGCAACTGCCAAGTTCGAGGGAGAGTACAGGCAGCCACGAAAGTTTGTCGGGCAAAGGGGATTATGAGTCCAACTCTGTTTCAGAGTGTGAAATCCGTTGGGAAGACCTTCAATTAAGAGAGGAGATTGGACAAGGTAATGAATTCCATTATTATGCATTTTATAGTTCCTCTATGTTAAAGGAGTTCAAATGCTAAAATGTTTTAATTTGTAAATAGCAGCATAAGTTTAGAAAACGAAGGTATATGGAGCAGTCTCAAAATAATATAAATATAATTTTCCCGTCTTAAATCTAAGTGGTCTATAATCCTTTATGCCACAAATAAACTCAATCTTTTTGGAGGAAAATTCAGTGTCTAGTGGGTGATGAATTGTCATAAAGAAGTAGCCAAGAATATTTGCTCAAACATCTCAAGGTAGGACGAGAAATTTCTAATGGATATCTTTTCAAATAATTAGGTTGATCTACCTGCATCTTTTTCTTTTAGTAGAACTTGAAACGTGTCTGAATGTTCCTATTTCAACCAATGATTGCTGACATAGTTATGTTCCACTGTGTCCTGTAGGTTCTTATGCAACTGTTTATCATGGAATTTGGAATGGATCGGTATAAAATTACCATATTCTTCTATGTTACTAATAGTATTGACTGGCCATCTGCTCTAAAACTTATTTTCTTTTTCAGGATGTTGCAGTCAAGGTTTATTTTGGGAACGGATACACAGAGGAGACTTTACAAGACTACAGAAAAGAGGTGTGTGTCTCTCTCTCTATGTGTCTTGCTTTAAATAGAAAGCAACTGATTCATGAATCCTTTGTGTATACTTCAGATTGATATAATGAAGAGATTGAGACACCCTAATGTACTACTTTTCATGGGAGCAGTATATTCACCGGAAAGGCTTGCCATTGTTACAGAGTTATTACCTAGGTAAGATTTTCGACATCATCATCTTTAAGCTTATTAAAGGAGTTGCACTGTGTGTAGAAGCACATAAAATATCATGCTTGAAGTATCTATTATATTTGTGACATTGGGTAATAGATCTGTGTATTAGTGAATATGAATATCTCACACGGTGCACAACAAAATCCCCATTTACATGTTTTTTTTTTGTATGCAAATTATAGGAATGGTCTTAAATTGATTTCATTTTGCACGTTAGGGGAAGCCTTTTCAAAAATATACATAGGAACAATCAGACATTAGACATCAGAAGACGTCTAAGGGTGGCTCTTGATGTTGTGCGTGTCCTCTCCCACTTCACATCAATGTTGAGAGCAAGCTGGTGGCTTGTTAAACCTTCATTTTGTATTGTTCTAAATCACATTGTTGTTCATTTCAGGCTAAAGGAATGAATTATCTTCATCACAGAAATCCACCAATTGTGCATCGAGATCTGAAGTCTTCCAACCTGCTAGTAGATAAAAACTGGACTGTAAAGGTGATCAATGCTTCAAAATGCATTTGTCGGGCCTAGGATGGTTCAATATAATGAGTTTTGTTCTTTTCCTTAGGTTGGAGATTTTGGCCTATCTCGGTTGAAGGATACAACTTTATTGAATACGAAATCTGGGAGAGGCACCGTAATGACGTCACTCGGTTTTTTCATTTTTAAATATGAAACTGCTGATCTAAGAAGCTGGCAACTGTAAAAACTTTAGTTTGTTTTTAGTGAATGAAGTTTTATTTCTGTATCTTGCTAACAATCATATTTGTTGTTGAAATGCAGCCTCAATGGATGGCCCCTGAAGTCCTTAGAAATGAACCTTCCAATGAGAAGTAATTACTTGGAACTGTGACTCAACCGATTGTGTTCAGCCTGGAATTTTCTGGAAACTTTGAAAAATGGAGACGATATTCTGAACAACGAATTTTTCCAAAAACTTTTCCAAATTGTCATTTTCCGTAATTATTTGCTAATTGGCCCTAAAGATCTTGAGGAATTGTTAAATCAGCTTTAAATATCCTGTGTTTAAAATCTTTGATTAGAAACTTCTATATAGCTGCAGTTTGAGTTTTGTCAATCACTGTCCTACCTTTTCCAGTTTCCAAAAATATCGCTAGTTTGGAAGTTATTCTGTACTAGCAAATAGTGCCTATATCCTATTGAATTGGTAATGCAGTTGATGCTTCTGAAGTAATGGATTTCTTGCCTTTTTAAAACAGGTCTGATGTATTCAGTTTTGGTGTCATCCTCTGGGAACTAATGACTCAATCTATTCCCTGGAAAAATTTGAATTCCTTACAGGTTTCTCTCTCCTAGAAACACATGTAGTTTCAACATAAACTCGTCTGTACAACTAGTCTACTGCAGAGAGAACATAAACTAATAGTGCTGCTAACTAACACATCACTTGGATTGACCAATTTACCTAAGAGTTTTAATTAAAGTTACATACTTAGAAGGTTAAGTAAATATAGTCTGTTAGTAAAATATGTTTAACAATTGATTAATTAAAGTAACAAGTGTAATCTTAACACTGGGATTTTTTTATAACCATTGTATTTCACTTGAAAGGTTGTTGGAGTCGTAGGCTTTATGGACAGACGACTAGACCTTCCAGAGGACCTTGATCCCCATGTTGCCTCCATCATCGATGATTGCTGGCAAAGGTGCTTATACAGACACACTTCAGTTTTAATATGATAGAGATTTCCTACTTGGTTCTAACTAAGATTTACTTGGTTAAAAATGGGAGCAGTGATCCAGAGCGACGCCCATCATTTGAAGAGCTGATCCAGAGAACGTTGTTCCTTGTTAACAGAGTAACAGCAGTGTCAATTAGGAGAATTGCAGAATCCTAAACGTATTATATGGTTTGGGTTTTGTTTTCTCAAAATGTGTTTGTTAAAAACAGATTATGAGAAGCACAAACCAACATATTGAGTGGCAACTGGCAACCCTTAGAACATTCTTCCTTCCGAAAGTAGAAAGAACAACTCGAGAGAGACAAACCGAAGGTGGGAGTAGGCGATAAAAATGCTTGTAATTTTGTTTGGAGTCTTTGTATATAGATATTA